GCCTCTGGGTGCTGCCAGGTCTGCATGAGGCGCCTTGGAATTGCCTTCAGGGCGAAGTCAACACAGGAAGAGCCCCAAGAATGTCAGAGAAGCGAGCCTGGCCTGGAGGCCCTGCGCAGAGCCTGCCCTCCCGGCAGCCTCCTGGTCTCGCGAGGCAGCAGCCGCTGTGGGCTCTGCAGGCGGGAGCGGGGTCCTCTGCTCCGCGCGGCGCGCCCCGTGGGAACAGGACACACACGCTCGGCCGCGGGGGGGCGCCGGGGCCGGGGTGCGGGTACCTGCTCCTGCGCCTCCAGCTCCTTGTGCTGCAGCTTCTTCTCGGCGCACCGCACTTGGTTCGCGCGGTTTTCCAGCTCGTCCCGCAGGGCCTGAAACAGCGAGCGACAGACACGTCAGCACGAAGAACTAGCACCCCTGAAACAAAAGTTTTATCACCTGAACTGGCATCAAAAAGGCCTCAGATCTGTGGCCTATTAGTGTTGTTCCAAAGAGTTCAGGCAAACAAACCAGATCTGAAGTGCTGGTCCCAGATGTTTTCCACTTTAGGAACTAGTAAAAAAAATCCCAAACTTATAAAACAGACACATTAGCAGGTGTCAGTGCACTTTATAAAAACACCCCCTATGTTCCCAGGACAGAGCCACAAGCATGCAATGAGCACAAAGCTGCTAATTAAAATAGCTCAGTCGGTACACCTGCAAGTACACGTACACCCCAAAAAGTGTCCTGATAGCTAGGAAGTGCAATACTGGGCCAATGTGACACTTTTCAAAATTATACTATGGCAACTTGAGTTACTTATAATGACCTTAAAGGAATTTCTCTACTAGGTCATTGAGGGTGGTATAGCATTTGAGGAACCTATGAGAAGTGAACAGAAATGAATTCTTTCAGTTGCCAAATAGCTGTGGGAAACAGAATTCAGGTTAAGAAGGAGAACTTACAAACCATGAAGATCAGTAATTATCACATCAATTACTATTTTAAGTAAAGAGGTGAACTAGAAAAGAAACAGTCCATTCAAACCACCCGATGTAACTGCAGATATAATATGTAGAAGTTTACAGTGAGTGGAACACACAAGATAACTACAAAGATGCCAAATTCTCAAAACAAAATTAATTCACTCAAGACTCTTAAGTTTCTGCTATATGTCAAGAACCTACTACAGTCAGAAAGAGCAGTGAAAGAAAACAGACAAAAAAGTTCCCTGCTCTCATGAAGCTTACACTATATTAGGGGCAGCTGATAAGCAAATCGTAAGTATGATATGTCAGTGGCAAGTGCAGAGGAAAAATAAAGCCGGGAAGGAGGATATTCTGGAGTGGGGTTGGGGAGGGGTGCTGTGATTTTAAACCAATGGCCCAAGAAGGCCCAACTGAGGAAAGACCTAAAGAAGATGAGAGCAAGTCACATGGGTGTCTGCAAGAAGAACCTTCCAAGCAAGGGCACTGTATGTGCAAAGGCCCTGTGGTGCACGTGGGAGGAATCCGCAAAGGCCTGTGTGGAGGGTGAGCACAGGGGAGCAACAAGGTCAGGGATATAACAAGGGTCAAGTCACATCAGGTCAAGTGAAGCTTCAGAGGGCAGCTAAGAACTCTCTATTTTAGTCAGAGGGAGATGGGAAGCTCATGGAGGGCTGTGGGAAGATCCTGCTTTGGTTGCTGTAGAGAGTATAATGAAGAGGGATAGGGCAGAGCTGGGAGGCAGGGTGGAGGCCGCTGAGATATCCTGGGAAAGGATGATGGGGAATTGGCCCAGGATGGTAGCAGCTTGGGATGAGGGAAGTGTCAGATTCCTAATATATTTGAAGATAGAGATGGCAGCCCTGAGATGTGGATGCAGAGATGGGGAAGAAAAAAAAAAAAGACCCTAAGGATTTTGTCTTGAGCAGGTAGGAGCACGCAGCCGGGGAAGGTTAAGGGCAGGGCTGCGGCAGGCAGATGGGCTACATTGGGTTTAGAACACCTAGGACACACCGAGTGGGTGTTGGGTAGCAACTATTTATGCCCAATTGTGTTTTTTTCATTGACTTCTGAGGAAATCATTCTGCAGTGAAGTCAGGGGGTTAAGTGCAGTGCAAGAGAAGGCAGCCACAGGAGGGCCTGAAAGAGGCATGGATACGGGGAAGGGGATGCGGGCGGTGGAATCACGCAGGGCCAGTGGGGAGAGGAGGGACTGGAAGATACCACAAGGCTCTGACGCTGAATGACCAAACAGCGACACCACCAAGCGACGGAGTGACGGGAAGGAAGTCAGAGCGGTGGGGCATCTGGTTTTTGACAAGCTGAGCTTCATGCGCTGGTGGGACTTCTGAGGGGACCAGCCATGCTGGGAAGGGGGTTCTGAACAGTGGCGGGGGGCAGAGGTGCACGTGGGGACGCTTCCTCGGGAAACGAAGAGAGAAGCGGTTCTAACACCTGCCCTTGGGTGACACCCACACTTGAGAGCAGGCAGCGGGGAGAGGCCGAGAGGACTGGCAGGAACTCAGCGCAGGAGACGAGCATGAAGTTAGAGTGGCAGGACCCTGCTCAAAGCGCTGCCAAGAGGACAGGCAGCAGAGTTAGACCCGGTTCCTCCCAAGTCCGCAGTGAGGGGACTGTTAAACATGCCGCTTTTAACAACCTATCAAAATAGAAGTGAAATTACATCTGCTTTTCAAAAAGGTACCACTTTTCAAATTTGCTCAGAGTTTAACTAAAGGTGTAAAACACGTGGCCTTCCTGAGGTTAATCAGAAAGCAGCATGTCTAGAAATTACTTTTATTATCTATTAAAAAATCAGTTTTAAAAACTGGAAAGAAACCAAATAATAATTTGCTTTTGTAAAATGTTAAAATGCACTAGATGAAAAGAAAATGACAGTTTATACTGGCAGCTGCTCCCAGTCTCGTATTCTAGAAAATTATTAGGCCATTAGCGTTCCAGCCTCGGAATGCGACATCAGACTATGAAAATGACCACAGTCACTCAGTAAGTACCGGTGGGAACCCTCCTCTAAGTTGTGGCTTCTTTATTCAAAATCCTTCAAGTCTGACACAAAAAAATCACAACTTCCAGTTTATTCCTGAGAAAAGCCCAAGATAAAGAACGGAATGTACAACGTTGGGTAAAAATCAACAACCACTGGAACAGTTAAGCTGTTTATTCTGCAAAATCATCCCCTGTCCCTTAGGTCTGCTGGGTGACTTGCACCATCACTGAAAAGGCAGCTCTTTCTCCCGGTTCAACCTGCCCTTAGACATCAGATGCCAGGCAAGTCCTGCTTAGGAAGCTCCCCAGTGCCCACTCTGATGGCTGGGAACAAAGAGTGACACTTTCCAGAAGAAAAGTGTGAATGACATAATGAGCTTTCAGAGGACAGTCCTCACTGAGGGTCTGCCACACTCCTAAGGGACTGGGTTACAGGACAATTGGGTTTGTTCGTGTAGAATATGAAGATACTTAGAGCAAATGAAGGTGCAGACAATTTTACTTGTTAATGGACTTTCCAGGGTGAGGAGGAGCCCTGGTGGCTAATGGACCCATGAACGGGGCCCATGACAGTCCTGGAACTTTGCCATTGATTTGGGGGAAATGTGTATCACAGTGAGTGCTATTCTTGTAAAATTTGTGAGCATGATTCGAACAAGCCGCTCAGCCTGTAGAACCATGCACTAAGGAGCTAAGTGCAGTCTTATTAAAATAAAAACCTGTTCGGAAAGATGTCAGCGCAGGGAACTTGAGTCACGTTCTTCTACACGTTTCTGGTACACAGACTGTACAATCATACCCTCCCACTTTTTAAGTGTTCAAACCAGTCCTCACGGACGTGAAATTTAATCTTTTACACATATATTCTGCCTCATTTTGTGTTGCCAAGTCTTGGCCATGCTTGTGTCTGGCCTTTTGCGAAGCCCAAGGGCACATTTTCCTGGCCCTGCCACACATCGAGGGGCAAAGGATAGATGGATTCTTTCCTTGGTTCAGTAGCAGGGAGCATGTTCCGCATGTTTTCTGGGAAGTGGGAACCTTGGATATTATAGTGTCCTCCTACTTAAAGGGGCTAGATGAAAGTGTATGCAAGCAAAAAGACTGTGGATTAAGTTTTGTCCTATACAGACACAAAACTGGACCCTCAACATCAGCGCAGAAGGCGCCTCGTAGCAGCAAGGTGTACACAGCTAAGCACTTTCACAAGCAAGAAAAGGCAGTCCTGTACCAGAGATGCTGCCCAGAAGTCAGCCTGGCAAACTGTTGAAAATTGGTGAAGCTGGGTGACGGGTAGGTGGGGGTTCTGCATACTACTCTCCCTACTTTTGTGTGTTTGAAAGTTTCCATAATAAAAAGGTAAAAAAATTTAAAGCATTCCTACTTAAAAAACATGAAATCACCATATCCTTCCTTTCATGAAGTTTGAATTTACTATCTTACTTCAGGGAAAACAGATGATTCATTCATCATCCAGTGAGTGGGAAGGATCTAGAAGGATTTCCCATGTATATTTTGGACACAAAGTGAAGGAAGCAAGGAGTGGAATTCATAGTTTGACCTAAGGAGAAGATAGCTGGGAAGGGAAGGCCTATTTATATTTTATGGAGATGTAATTAACATACAGTAAAATTCCAGATTTATTTTTTTAATGGTGATGGTCTGTTTTACATTTAAAACATGTGACATGATTTAAAAATATGTGTCAAAAAGTATCTGTTAAGATGATAACATTTTTATATAGACCTTCTTCGACTGATTGGTTTACCCATCCAACAGCTATGACCCCTGATCTGAGACTACAGTAGAGACACTAGTTATAAAGGGGAAATATGGGTGACTCTCATTTAAACCTTAACAATGCCCACATTTAAGTAGCATTACTTCCATTCAGTTTACAAATGGTGCTGACAGTATTTTCTGATGAGTAGGTTTTCTTTGACATGTAAAAGGACATAAAAACAGCAAATGTGTGTTTTTTTCTACTACTGCTAACTAAAAGTTAAGGGGAAATGAAATAAAAGCAATAAGCTTACTATTTTTATGTCAGATTTGTAGACTTATTTTTTTTATCACATCTTAAACAACTGGGGTACAGCAAGAAGACTGGGTCCTGTCCCCAGAGGAGGAGATGCGAATCTGGGGCCAAGAAGGTGACACAATGGCAGAGTGACAGTTTTACTGGGTGGTCTCACTGGCTATTTACAGAGGCCACTCTAGCTCCTGTTTTATTTTATTTTTTCAAATAGGCTACATCTACTAACAAAAGTAACAAGTCTTCTTCAGCTGAAATGCCAGTCAAGATTTCTTTTACAGTGATTTCTCCACTCAGACCTTCCCAGGATGAACAACAAATCACAGAACAGTTTTACTGGCGATTCTGCGGTAACGGAGGAGAG